CTTAAGTAAATTTCGGCCGAAAAACACTACGGCCGTCGTTTATCTAAAGGCGCAATACCGAATTACCCTTTTAATGACATTTTAAATCATTCGGGTCGGCCAAAGAGATCTCGGCGCGTGCATAAATCGTACACTTATATAATAATAATACGTGTACTGTTGTGTGTGTGTGTGTGTATACTTTCAGGATCAGCGGAAAGTAATGGATATACGATAATACTGTGTTGGCGTTTATGGTGGCCCGAAGGGGAGGAGGCGTTTTAGTTTAAGAAATCCCCGGCCGTATATCGAAAGGCAATTTGTTGTCTAACGCGCACATTTTTTTCACTATTCGCTGTAGACATTTTCAATATAAATTCGCGTTTAATAACAGACGGAGGGGATATTTATTTTAGCAACGATTGATGCGCATTTACTTATCGACGTCGTGACGTGTAATAATATGGCTTTAGAATACATTACTTCAACACAATCTCTTTTTCAAAAAAAAAAAAAAATGTCCTAACAATTTGTGGAGCATAACTCTTTTAGCGGATCCTATAAAAAAAAAATGTAATGCTTTCCGCACGAAGACAATTACACTCGGCCGTAAGTCGAAAAACTCCTCCTTTTCAAAATGTTAACATACGTTAATTAATTTATCTATTATCTTTACCAGTTCTTTAAAATAACTTAGGTACAATTTGTTTAATACGCTAAACTGAAATATAGTAGACTATTCTGAGTAGACTATAGAGACTTTTATTAAAATACATTATTCAATTTAATTAATAGTGAAATATTTTCAAATAGAAATTTAAACTATATTTGTAATACATGTAAACCGTAGTATTTTGTTCGTGAGTGCGTTTTTAAATTGTTAAGTACTCAAAAAATCTTTATACTTGATTTAATTTTAAACGATAGAGAGTATACATTTTTAATGTGTTAAAAATTAATGTAAACATGTTACTTCATTGAATAACTAAGCTAATATTTAAGATAGTTAAATGCAGTCTGAATCCAGCGAATAGAATTTTTTTATACATTTTTTCTATACTATTATATATAAATATATATATTATATAGATTGATTAATTATTAAGTTCAGTTCTTAAGTAAAATATATTGTAATTGTAACAAATTGTATAAAGCATTGTTTTTAATAATGATAAAAAAGGGTTGATTGATATTTGATAGTGATTGAAATCAAATCTACAAGATCAAGCAATTTTGTGGAAAACTGTATGTTTTTTGGCTTTAACGCCTGATAACCCATAATATAGTTTTCGGATATTTTTTCTTTCTTCGTGGTATATTGTGTTAACTTGAATTATATTATAAAAAAATACAAATATTTGACACGATCGTTATGTCCCCTCTTGGTAAATTGTTAGTTTTTCAAAAAAAGTACGTCATTACAAAGATTAAAGTATTATTAATACAAATTACACAATAATTCATCTATTTTCAAAAAATTATTTCACTGTAAATTATATTTTATGGACCATTTTTTCTTTTTAAGGGAATCGAGGGGTACTTTTAAAAATTATGGCACTAATAACATTAATTAGATTTGTTTTGTGATCTTTTGACGTATCATTGAGCAAAATTGGCCCCGTAAGAGCGAAGTAATCGTCTGTAATAACACACAATAAAAAACAAGGTAGAGTAAAACCAATAGCTACTCAGTAAAGTATCAAAGTAAATAAAACACCAATAAATGTTGTGAACATACAAATATATTTAATATAACTCATAAAATACTACAATTGTAGTGACATAAATTATTAATTAGTTTCCATATAAACTTTTGAACTCTTCAGACACATGTTAGTTAAAACTGAATAGATATTAAATTAATTTTTAAATAATTTAGTAAGAAACTTAACGCCTTGATAAAAAGAAAAATCGATGGAACTAATCAAATTGATATTTGTAAAAATGTCAAGAAAATAAAAATATTTAAAAAATCTGCTTCAAATTTAAATTTAAAATTTTGGACGTAGATTGTTATTAGTCAATGGAATAATACTTTGCTCGGTAAAAATAAATATTAATCAATAATTACGACTAATCTCTTGGATTAATTTAACACTTCGAAATAATTCACATACCTTTGTTCGTTCGGGGAATTTCTCTCCTGTGGCGAGGTTTCGTATAACTTACTGCAGCTAACAAGAAAATTGAGCTTATTATCCCTGGAGTGTTGCAGGTAACTCGGTTAAACTTACTCAATTCAGCAGTATTCTAATTTCTACAATAGAATATTAAAGAAAACTTCATCTCACGTTTAATATGATCATAAATAAATTCTTCCGGGTATAGCAAATAATAATGAGTCGGCCTTTCCACAAAACATACATGTTGCAATGGTAAAATTTATATCATATATACATACACACAACTGAGCACCTTTTTCGGAGATACTAACTTATACATTTCCAGCGTGAAAAGCCATTAAAGGAATTGTTTAAGCGATTTCATTTTCCGCAAAAGTTTTTTCTTTATTTTCAATTTTCGTCTTTAGACATACCTTACAGAATACATAAGGAAAATTCTCTTGCTCACGTGGCTTTTCTCGTATACTTCATAAACATACGAATAGTACGCAGCTCTTTTCTAAAGTAAATATTTAATTTTTTTTTCCCATAATTCTTGTACATCAACATAACGTGAACTGAGTGATCGATTTATCATAAATCATTCGATAACTCATAAAATAAATACAATATTAAAAAAAAATATTTAGTTACATTTTTTAGATTAAAATTAATCTAAATTAATTAGAATGGTTCATAAATGTCTAGAAATAAAAATTAACAGACCCGATTTACTCCTCTGGCACTAGTTTAAAATTGATGATATCATTTGAAATAATCGTTCAAAAGTTGTTTTCCATAATTTTCTAATTTTTATCGTTTTCTTATTTTCAAGCTAATTTAACGTATATATCATTACAAAAACTGTTGTTGATACAATTTTTAGAAAGTGAAAGTATATAAGGTCAAAATTTTGTTTGAAAACTATAGAACATAGGATACTTTTTATTGAAAGAAAAAATTATAATATATTATATACATTTCAAGATATGAGTAATTGTTAAACAATCACTCTGTCTAAATAAATATATGAATATATATATATATATTTTTTTTATTTACTCTGTTCCATTTGAACACGGATTATAAAATGTTTATAAAAAGTTGAAGACACAAAAATATTTCGATTAAAATCTTTAACCCTTAAATACTGGTTTAATTAGTCATAATTTGTTTATTAATTACTAAATTAATATTTTTTTGTGATGTTCGACTTTCACTAGTGGATTAATAAATTGCATCTGATTGTACATATTAAAAATTTGCATCCACTGGGTTTGTATAAATGTACTGCAAAATCTGTAATACATAAATTGAATCTGATGCTATGTGTTTTTTGGTCGATGGTACAAATATAAAACTCAAGCACTCAAAAAATACTGTTATAACTATGATTCTATTGAACGAGAATATACAAATATTATGAGATATAATTGGATTATAGTATTGAATGTTATCTGAAATTTTATGTTTATGATAAAATACCTTTAAATGACGTATCAATCTTTTTTATAATAGTAGATAAATTTAACTACATTATTTTTAGTATCTTATCACTAAAAACATTTGAATAACCTCATTTTTTATGTCATATTTTTAAAAAAGCTTAGTCGTTTATGAACTTTCTAAATGTGTGCAAAGATCCACTTTTAACCAAATGGAGCTTAACGAGTGCAAACCGTGCTCAAGCTTCCATGTCAAAATGAAAGAATCGTATACTTAGAGCCAAAAAAAAAAGAATATTAAAAAAGAAAAAAAATACCGAAAGAAAAGAGAAACGTCAAAAGTAACTTTGCTCATTCACAACGACTCTCTATTGGAAAAGTCGGTCTATTAATCACACAACCGGCAGCGGACGGATTGCACCCGTTCTGATGACGGCACTTTGGGAATGGCAACAAAAAAAAAAGAAGAAGAAAAACGTTTTGCGTTGAAAAACGTTGAGCGATTGCTTAAAAGAATGAAAACGGTCAACGAAAATAAAAAGCGTAGTGTATCTCTCGAGGAAGAACGGGAAAGAGGCATTTTGAATTAAAAAAAAAAAAAATGTTTGTTTGCGAATAGTAATAATTATTATTATTTGTTGAAACGATTTGTGTTCAAGCTTTATAGATTTTTATTTTGGCATCGTCTATATATTTATTACAATCCTCACCCATTACAAGTCTTATCTCGAAAACATTATAATAGTTTAACTGTGGTTTGTTTTGATGGTTAACGGCCAACAGAAGTAGTTCGTCAGCCCTCCCTCCGGGAGTCATTAATCGAAACGCTCCACGGGGAGGCCATAATTCATTATAAGAAAAACTCTTTTATTTCATTTTATGGTATCGGTGTTTTCCATCGAGAAACGACAAGAAAATCACAACACGCTCATTTAGCCCAAACTAAATTAATTGTCTCGTAAAAGCACTTGTTCTTATTGTAATCAGCTGCAGTAGTGATATTATTTTGTAAATTCACTTGGAATTTAACAACGGTTATTTCATAAATTAAAATAACAAATCACGATGGGAATCATAACAATAAAAATAAAAATTCTCCAGTCAGAAATTAAAAAGATTTTTGAAGAGATTAGTGTATGAATCGAATTGCAAATCCTTGTGTTTTAAATAGCTATTCATTATACTAAAAACACTTCTTAATATCAGTTTTGCTGTAGGGATTAAAATAATAATTCTATGTCAGGTGTAGTATTATTTTGTCATTATACTGCTATATTTTATCGGTATTAATATAATGACATTGCATATATACGGAGTATTGATGGTTCTTGTATTGTGTGTAAGGGATTTGAAAATAATGTAACAAAGTTGCTCAAAAAGACTAATAATTACAAAAAATGATTGCAATACTTTTTAAGCATAATTTAAAAAAAATAATAAGTTTAAAAATTCAAATTATATTTTTTATTTTTAGTTATATCAACAGATGTGGAAGCAGTTGCAGGAACAGTCGCCTATTTGCCATGCAACATGACTCCACCCACACACAACGACAGAGCTACGTTAGTAATTTGGTACAAACAAGGACTTCAAGGACCAATTTATACGTAAGCTTAAAATACTTGATAAAGAACTTTCATTTTCAAAATTAATACAGATGAATATCCTTTTTATTTACTTGATTATTTAAGCATAAATATGTTTGTTTCCCTAAAAAGTATTAGTTTTTACTACGCAAAAAAAAACCTTTGAACCATATTTTGTTGTAAACGTCCAAACATAATTATTTATTGATATTGAAAAATAAACCGTTTGATGAAAGTTTGCACGGTAAATGATTATCACTAATGAATATTCAGTTTTTATTGAAAATGTACAAAAATCGAAATTGTTGTTTGTTTTACATGAAATAAAGCTTATTTGATTTTTATTTATTTGCAATGTATTTACACTATTTGACACAAATCATACATTGTACAAAATATGTTCTAAATATTATCATTATTGAATATAGATAACCAAAAATATAATCTAAATATAAGAATAATTTCATAAACCCTGACATTGCCAGGGTTTAGATACGGATCATCACTTATTTTTTCATCTAGATAAAAATAATAATAACACGATTTTTATCTACGTATTGTGATTTTTAAAAAATGGAAAATTTTATATAAATAAAAATTATTTAAAATATAAATAGAAAAAAATTTGTCTTATCTACTGATGATTATAATAAGATATTTTAATTAAATAATTATCATTATGCATAGCCCATTCTGCCCCGAATTAATTTCTAGTAAGATAAGACATTTCGTAAAGACCAAAGTCATTAGCCTATCGTACATAAGGATTTTCTGCAACAAATTTTATTCAAAAATTATTATTAAAAAGTTTATACTTTTAATAATTTCTCCTAAAATGTATCTCTGAGACTCAATTCAGGTGCTTACTTCATCATTCTATGATCATTTAATAGCTTATTGCGCCAAAATTAGTGATGAGCAAAATTACTCTTGTTCTTGCGGTCTTGGCTTGGTCTTGCATTTCTATGAGACCAAGAACAAGACCAAGACTGTAATAATATCAGCAAGAACAAAATCAAGACTGTACTCAATTGACAAGAACAAGACCAAGACTTTTTTAGCAAGACCAAGAACAAGAACAAGACTAGACTTGCAAGAACAAGACCAAGAACAAGAACAAGACTAGACTTGCAAGAACAATACCAAGACAAAGACTCAAAATGCAAGAATCTTGCAAAATCAAGAATAAAACTGCAAGAGTATTGCACTCTTGCAAAAAAAAAAAAAAGATTGTTGTTAGTTAATATTGGTTAAAATCGTTAAGATTATTAATGACAGATTCGACAATATTAAATTTTACTTTGATTTTTATTGATTACGCGTATTGTTCAAATTGAATATTACCTATGAGCTGAAGTTACTGATTAACTTAAAATTTTACAATCATGTTTCAAAATTTATTGTCATTCCCACATAGCAATGAAATATTTCTAGAATATAAGCAGAATATATTGAAATATTCTCACAATCTTCTCAGAATATACTTTGGCAGCGAATATTACATTCTCACAATATTTTAAAGGTATATTACTAAAATATCATAAAATAAGCTTTAATTTGATATATGTTTAAAGGACGCAGTATTTCCGGAATATTTTCAAAAATTAAGTTGAAAAAGTTAATTTTTGTAAGAAAGTTCCTATTTTAAATCCCCCCAATGAGCAGGTTAAATGTTAAATTTTCAAAAAAATGATATAAAATGAAAGGGAAATATCTAAGTTTTTAGTATAAAAAAAAATGTTGATTTGTTTATTTTTGAAAAAGTTATGGAAGTTTTAAGAAAAAAAAGTGAAAAAAATGACAAAATTTACCTATTTTTTAATTTGTAATTTTTTTGGATATTTCCCACATTTGTGGGGAACGAGGGAAAATTGTTCAATTTTTAAGGGTAATGTCTTCAACTAGATACGATTTGTGGTCTTTTGACGTATTGTTCAAAGAAATCGGTCTAGTGAGAGCTGAGAAAAAGTGGCAACATACATAAAAAAAAAAAAAAAAAACACATCATAGTAAAATTAATACTTTCTCAACTTCGCATCGAAGCTAAAATCATTCATATTGTTTATGCTAATGATCCTATGGCATATAAACTAAATTTGAATTTACAAACTGAATTAGGTAACTTCGTCATTTAAACCTTTTAAGAAGAAAATTTTTACAAATATAAATAAATGCAAGATTTTGCAAGAGTATTGTGACAAAACTCACAACAAGAACAAGATTTTATGGGCAAGACCAAGAACAAGAACAAGACTAAATAAGCAAGACCAAGAACAAGAACAAGACTAGACTTGCAAGACCAAGTGCAAGACCAAGACCAAGACCAAGACTGAGTTAGCAAAGCAAGACCAAGACCAAGACTCAGCTATCAAGAACAAGACCAAAATCAAGACTTTGACAGTCTTGGTCTTGTTCTTGTTTTGCTCATCACTAGCCAAAATTGACTAAAAAATATGTCATTCAGATGGCAGTTTGGAATTCCAAAGGTTAAATAATCAATAATAGTATAAATTGTTTAATTTTTTTTTTATGAAATTACTTTTTTTTTTATTATAAAATTGTGCAATAGATAAAAAGACACAATTTTGTTTTTGTATAAACTTCAAACTAAACTTTATACTTAGTATAAATTCAAATACTAAATAAAAATAATTCAATTTTATAATTCTAAACAGATTTTTATAAATATTAGCATAATTAAAAAAATAGTAGAATGAAAATTAATTAAACAGTTTTATTAATTATAAAAAAATTAATTAGTTAAGTGTGATAAAAAGAACAAGATTTTCTGAACAATTCCTGGCTTCCGATTTGGTTTCTTGTTGAAACTTGGAACAATAATCAGCTAAAATTTCTGTTAAATGTCTACCCCGATATCATTTTAGATTAATTGATCTTAGTGAAAACGTTCGCCTGTTTAAATAATCATTCCGATTTATAGGAAACTGGTCAATTTGTTCAGAAATGAAGTGTAGCTTTAGGGAATTGTTGTATCTCATTTATTCATAGGTTAAAACTAATTAATCCTTATAGTTAAAACCTCTATGATTATCCGAGAAAATGTTCACACGCAGATTTAAATGCCATAAAAGCACGAAATTGTTCGCTAGACAATAATTTTAGAAAATAAGCTGAATAATTCAAGTGAACCCTATTAAATTTTCCATTTCAAAATAACAACTACTAATACAATATAGCTAAATATTCAAAAAAATTGATCTTAATTCTTACCATAAGATATTTTTAATAATTTCTTAATTTTAAGTTTTTATTCATATCGACAAGTAGAATTGCTAAATGCCAATAACTAACGTAAATACTAAATTTCAAGTATGCAACATTAAGTTTGTAAACAAAACTAATAATAGTTTTATAGCCGTCTATTATCATCTACGTTACCAATAAGATAATTGTTGCATTGCATCGCATTGATAATTTTATCAGAAACCACAGTTGTCTTTTGTAAGGAAATGAATATGAGATTATATTTATTCGATACTCAATTAAGATTCCACTTTAACTCTTATAGTATATAATATGACATCGTTTTCATAACGTGCAAGGATTAACAAAAAATGTTTAATAACGACAAACATATAAAATGAAATAATACAAAAATCAAGTATATATATATATATATGTATATATTTATTTATGTTTATACATTCAACAATCTCAAATAATCTATGAATTGAAATAAATAAATAAAATTTGTCAATCTGCACCGGACTGACAGTCAAATGATAATCAAGTGTTCAAGCATTATACTTCTGTTGTGTTAGTCTCAGAAAAAATGTTGTGTCTTAATATTTTTATAAATTATTACTTCTTTATTGTTAATATAAAATTGAATGTTTATTATAAACTACTAATAATCAGCACAATAATAACTAATTTTTTATACTTCTAAGGTACGATGGTCGGAAAAGCAGTGCTAACGTTCCTGCGATAGATCATTTTGATCCCAAGAATCCAAACGGTGCGCATTGGGCTGATGATACGGTTATGAATGGCAGAGCTTTCTTTCGTGTTTCTCAACAGCCGGCAAACTTGGCTATTCAAAACATCAGTGAAAAAGATGGCTCAGTTTATAAGTGTCGTGTAGACTTTAAAAAATCACCCACTAGAAATTACAAAGTCAACTTAACCATTATACGTAAGTATATATAAAAAAAGTTAAAGGATAATCTCGAGACTTTTCAACTACTACTACTTGATGTTAACTTTTTTAATCTAAAGTAAATTAACGTGCTAAGTAGATAAAAAATAATTCTGATTTCATTTAATGATGTCATGTAAAAATCAAAGAACTGTTAAATTTCATTTCTGACTTGTAGTTAATTTTTATTTTAGTTTTCGGATTACACAGAGTGAACTATATTATTGTACACCACAACTGTCATCAGCTTTGACGACTCATATAATCAAACTGGAGATGTCAGTTAAATTCCATATAAAGCAAATGTCATTACCGATTTCTGCTAACACGGTCCGCCAAACTTGCTTTTATATGTATGAATAAAATGTGCTGGTACGACAAAAAGACCAGGCAAATTATATTCAAATATTTCGAAGAGGAGAGGGTGTTTATTTATTCTGATTACCATAATAATAGTATTATTACATCAACGTCTCCGTCTCGTTCTGTGTCATGCAGTATGTTTGAGATATATATATATATTTCAAGACAGTTTTAGCTTGTTAATGTAAAATACGCTTTGCGTACACGTAAACGCGTAACATTAAAAAATATTTTCTGTTAACTCACCAGTCGAACAAAGGAAATCCATTAAATCATGTGACATTTTTTACCCATAATCGTTATTTTAAAAAAATATATAAGACTTATAAGTAAACAGCAAGAATCCTTTTTGAAACACGAGTTTCATAAACAAAATCAATATATAAAAAACTATTATATTATAGTACACGTATATATCATTTCTAAAGGTTATTCGAAAGAAAAAAATAGTATTAATTTGTAATTTCATCCGTTATACCTTAAAAGAGTGCAAACTTTATATGTTTAAATGTTAACACGCATATTTAACTTGCCTATAAAATAAAAGAATGAACTGGTCTACAATAACTTTTGAAACAGTACTTCGAAAGTTATTAACATTTTTATATATTGGCGGTAGGAGAGGAGCGACCGAAAAATGCATTTTATAATAAAAATAGTCATACATACATTTCACATGGAGTCAATATTTTAAAATTTCAATAACTTCCAAAGAACTTATCCATAAATTGTTATCAACCAGAAAGTTTCTTAATTAAATAGTTTTTTATTTGATAAGCTAGTCAAATATTTGTGTTATCATTAAAAAAAATAAATTTAACAATCCTATAAGGTACAATGAATAAATTAAAAAGATACTCAACAAAAGATAAATAAAATAATATACGACACTAAAAAATACTAAAAATAATTTTCTTAACATTATTATTATATTTAGAGAAATCGAGAGGCCAATGTTAAAAGAAATGTGTATAATAAAATGTCAGCAATAGACAACAAATTTATTAAAAAAAAAAAGTGTAGCTCATCACCACATACAGTATGATTTATTAAGAATACTTCCTCCGTCTTTTTGTTAAGTAATGATTTTCATTTTAATTGTATAGATTAAAATTTAATTTATTATAACGAATAATTATTACACGAGGACAAATTTTAGTGGTGATTTTTCTAAGTTAAATGAGAACCTACTAATCATTTTTTCCCCTTAATGAAGAATCGTGTAAATAAAATGTTGACTGGTATCGACAAACAGTTTTGTAATAATAACTTTTGAGACATTAGCATTTATAGATTAAACAAAATTGTGATTGTGGCAAGTGTTTAGCAACACTTCTTCTACGTTATGCACACTTCTCAGAAATATTTTTTTTCTTACAATTAACTTGATAATTACTATGGTTCATAGAAATAAATCATATTGTAATTTGTGTCATTTTTTTATAAAAATAATCATTATTCAACAAAAAAATGAGAGGGAGTAGTATCATTAATAAATCACACTGTATGTGTATAAAATATTATTATTGTTTTAAATAAACACAGTAACTTATTAATTTCCACGAATTTCCGGTACCATACAAAATTAAAAATTGTTTTTAAGAAAAAAGTCTTAAACTTTGTTCATGTGTACGATATTATGCTAATTATTTTAATACAAACAAAAAATAATTATCCTTTTTATGGGTCTTAGGATAATATATACAGGCAACCGTGAGTAACAAGTCGTGTACAACGACAATATGACAACTGCTTAATAAGTCGTGTAATAATGTAAATTTGAATACGTTTAAAATTATGGAATATATGATAATTTTAATTAATATACTGCATAGTTTCATAATTTTATTTTGGTGGAGCCGAAAAAATAATGTTTAAAAGTTTCCCTTTTATCTCATTACCTAAAACAAGGAGTTTTTAAAGTTAATAAAAATGTAAATAATTTTGTCTGGTGTTTCAAGTACGTCACTGTTGTTTTCAATCGACAATCGCAATATTCAAATTAAGTAAACAATAGCAAAAAATTATAATTTGTGTTTGGCGCCAAAGCAAAATAAACAATATTGTTAAGCAAACGTATAATGAATGATAAAATACGTGTGACATCAAAATCGAATCGATTGCAATAATAAAAAGTCAAAACAAATTAAACCGAACACGAAGCATTTCATAGAATTTACCTCCCACAGATATAGTGTATTTTACGATAATGATAGCACTGCAACGATATATATAATGTTGTATAATAATTTTGTTTGGCATTGTTAAATCGAGTCATATAATAGTTAAGTATCAACTGATACAAGTATTTTACAAGTGTATTTTGGAAATGGATAAGGGCATTCGTAAAATAAAGAGCAATAATAAAATACCGAATAAAAATCTAAATCCATACAAGCTGAAGACAACGACCGCATAAAAAAATAATTTTGATTCAAACGAGACGTCAAAGTTACTTGAGAGTACTATAAAGTGACACTTATCCATCAATCAAATCGAATAAAACAAAATTCATACAGTCGCGAAATTCGAAACTTGGTGATTATAAAGGTGGAGGTTGTCAAAAAAATGTACATATAAATATGTTTTATGATTTTTATTAAACTTCTATAACTACAACATTGGTAAACTTAAATACACGTAGTGCAATCTTCTAACAAAAAAATTAAACGATAAAATTAATCATAAGTTCTATAATTGACACGCATTTTTTAACGTCAGAGCATGTTAAGGTACCGCTGGAATTTTCATATAACTTGGAAGCCTTGTAGTAATAGCAGTAGTGATAATAACAGTTATTAAAATGCGATCGTGTTTGGTAACTATATGCCTCTGGAGTAGTTCAAGCCCTTTATGGCTCAAGTTTGGATTACTTATTTAAGTATATTAAAAGTTATAATACTGTACTATAAGTCAACGTGTATTGAATTCACATTAACCGCCTTCTTAGTTTTGAAATCGATTGTTACGACGTAGAAAATTAGACTTTCAAAATGGAATTTTATACTTTGAAAAAAACGTAAAAATAAAGATTCCGTAACAGGAATTCTATTTTGAGTTCACTTTTTATTAGTTGACACAATTATTTTTAATGATTTTTTTATTTTTATTTAAGTAATAAAACTTGTTAAAAATGTACAAAAATAAATTCATTCCGCTCAGAGCAATCATTTTAATTGTGCTATAATAATACATAAAGTTTTCCTCGCTTTTATCATAATACTTCACATAGTTTAGTTCTATGCTCGAAACAAATTTTTTTCATTTCACTGTTCAAAGTACTTTATTATTAGTGTAATTAGTTGCTGATTCATGAAAAGGTAAAAATTATTAACATTTTAAAATAGTTTTTCTATTACTGTATTTGAAATTAGCCTAGCAGTATTTGATGACTTGCGTGTTATTATATTGCCTAACTGAAGTGCCGTCATTCAAATAAAATTACTTTTATTCAATACAAATACATCATTATTGGTTCTATTCAATTTTTTAATTCTCGATACATTATTTGTGATAGTTCAAATCATAAAAAATATTATACATTTTGGTAGAGATTAATAAAATTTATTTCTTTTCACTTGTTTTCATTATTAACTTAACCACTAAAAAGTAATAATAATGGTATAGTTTATTTAGACTTTTAATTTTTATAACATAAAGTTTTTACCACAATTCAGATATATATGATATCATTGAAATAAAGTAGTATAAATCTGGTATTAAATCAGAAAGTTTCACAAAGATTATGAATTATAATTCAATATAACATTTATGCATACAACATTGTGTTATTTTAACTATTAATATAATGTTTTAGACTTATTTAACTCGTTAGTAAAGCAAAAAATCAATTTTATCATTAACATGAAACCAACAATTTTTTAATTGATAAAATTCATAAAATAAATTTATTTGTATTATTATTATTATTGAACCACTTTTATAATTAAACCGATTGAAACTTTGATATATCAACCAACTTATTAAAATTATTTCATAAATGACAAGATGATTATTCCAATGAAATTTTAAAATATACTGAGATCGCATAGTATTTGTATTACATACTTGTTGCTACTTTAAACGTGACCAAAGAAATATTGAAATATATGCGGACTTTCTGTATAATATGTGGTGTTATGGAAGCCAAAAGGAAACACTCTAAGGGAGTTATTGTCGCGAGATATTTGCTAAAATAAAAATAATTACTACAGCTAAATATCATTATTTAAATTTTTGAAACGAGTGAAATATTGTGTACCTGTTAGTATTTTGCTCAAATTTTGCATATGCAAAATTTAATTTATTCATTGAAGTATAAATAATTTTATTATTTGTAATTTAAAATTTCGACGAAAAATTATTTTTAAAAAAAGATTAAAAGCTTTATAAATTTTAAACATGAATAATAATATCTTATTTAATACATATTATGATATTTTCAGTTCCACCTGACCGCTTGAGTGTCTTGAATGAAAAAGGCGACCACATTCCGCACTATATACTGGGACCCTATAAAGAAGGAGTGACTGTTGACATCACGTGCATCGCTAATGGAGGTAAAAATATTTAATTAAATTGTTACGTTTTACTATTTTATTCATAAGTATATACATAGCAGCTTGTCGTCTGTTTTCTTTGAATATTTAGAATTAAGTACTTTTTAACCTTTAGTTTCTTTACCTTTAGTTTAAAATGATAAAAAGAAACGATATACATTTTAGAAATAAGTTCAAGTAAATAATTAATAAAAGTGAAAATACCATATTGTACGTGATTTGATCAAAGCTAGATAAGTAAACATATTAATTTTTAAATAGCTTTTCATAACTTGCTAATAATATTCCCTATGTAATAGTTTAAACATGAATTTGTAATGGTAATTAGAAAATGAAAGCGTATCTCAATATTCTTGTGACATCATTAAGGCATCTAGTTAAAGCTGTACTGTTCATGTTTCCTAGGTGACAATGGCCATAGGGTAGCTATAATGTTAACATTTACAATGAAGTTAAGCGTCGTTCACGTTTTAATATTAAAATGCATATCTAACACGATGAATATAATTTACAATTTATGTTTTCAGATATCGGGTTTAAATGTTATTATTCATGAACTCCGAAACACCCTACAGTGATTTTAGAAGTTTAATATCTTCCAATCTTTAGATGACTAAAAAGCATCTAAAAGCTCTTTTTTAGTCACGATTTGATTACTTTGTAGGAGTTATAATTTTTTTTTTCAATTCAATGAAAAGTATATCATACAGATATTTTATATTTTCATTAGTCGAACAAAATTTTAGTTGCTTAATACCATATGCTCTTTTTTTCTAATACCTACCTCATACTAAGTGCGGGTGAACTAAATTTTTAGGCTTTTCCACCTCTTCTGCCAATATTCACACGCAATCGCTAAAAGTTATACGTGAGTGGACAGAATTTTTGAATTTCACTTTTAAAAACTCAGTACTGTTCAAATTCAACTTATAACTACTATTATTAAAACTTATACTTTAATATAATTCTCAGTAAGTTTAATCGTTTTGTATACTGTTTTTTATGCTATGGATTACAAATATAACAATTGTCTTCTGTTCAATAAAATAAACATAAATCTTGAGAGAATCATAATGGCCATATTTAGTTTTTTGTATAATCTACTTTATTAAAATAAAAACTTTATCTTTTAAATCTAAATAATGCTACTTAACATACAAAAAGATCATTAAATGAAACTTGACGAAAACGTTTTGTTATTATGAATTTTATAGTACAAAATGTTATGAAAAACTCAATAAAACTTGCTCAATATTAAATCTTTGTTTACTATGGAAGTAAATGTTTTTCATTTAAGTTCGATGGATTAAACAATTTATTTATACGTAAAAATACACAGTTAATAATAAAATCAGATTTAACTTATCTACTGAACTAGAGTCTTGAAAATTGAATTTAATCAGTTTAAAAACATAGCTTTTACTCTTAAAATGAATATTACATTTTCTATTGGTGAACATTAGAAACTAAAGTTTCCATAATGGACTTTTTTAAAAACTTCAAATAGACTTTTGGTATATCTAAATAAAAAATCTATACTTAAGTCGAGTACGATAAGACATTTATATATATTAATAAGAACAGATGACATTTTAAATCACATCGCTTGCTTAAAATTGGTACATAGTAGTTCAATCAATGATCAAAATATCATGCATTTTCCATAAAAAATTTAAAAAATCATATACAGAGTGTCAGTAAGTAAGGAAACGGGTTTCTAGTGTTCTCGTTATTTGTAACAATTTACCCGTTTCCTTACTTACTGACACTCTGTATATTTTGTGTTTAATTTGAAATTTAAAAAGTTTCAGGGGCTCTTTTTTTATTGTGCCACGAGGCAACTATCCTAAGTAGCCCCTCGTATTAATACCATTAGTTATTAGTATATTGCAAGTAAAGGTTGAAAAAAGTGATCGATTCTATATGTGTTCCCTAACACGAAATACAGTGACAGTTTACCAATAATTTCCGAATACATTGGAAAACTTTATTTTTTGAACATTATTAATTCAACTGATCCGACATTAAAAATTTGGCATATCATTTTAATGGACGTATGAAAAATTAGTTGTGCTTATAAACATTTTGGTTTCGCTAACGATAATCCAGTTTGTACAGACGCATTGGCAACGGTCAGCCGTCAGTGCGTATAAGCAACTGAGTGATGAATTGACTCAGAAGACCAATAGAGAGAAATGGTCGACAAAACGCGTGAAAGTTTAGGGTATGTTAGCAATAGTTGATATACGCTCGTTTTGGAACAATGATATTGTATTCTCTGTACGTCCGTCGGTAAAAACCACAAGCGGTCCTGCTAAATCTGTGTTTTATTGGGGATACGCATTCGTGCAGTTGCTGGAAGCGACGGCAAAAGTAAAAATGGAAAAAGGAAAGGACTGGAAGCCGCCTGTGGATGCAGACTGTCGATATGTCCAGGACGTGGTCGTCCGTTCGACCTCTGTCCGCCTACTCGGCACTTTATTGCCACTGCTTATATTTCTTTTGGGGCAAAATAAAAATAACGTGATTGGAATGCCGAGCAGAAATGTTTACACATTCGGTGCCGCCGATTTGAATATTACCTCGGGGTGGACGCGCCTGAAATGCGCACTAGTATTATGGATACACAGTTTATATTGCAGCTATAGAAATATTTAAAAAGAGCACATAAAATAAAAAAAGGAAACAACCGGCGGTATCGACAATAAGATGACGTACGCCCGTTGCAAGATTAGTACTGTTTCACTAAACACACTGGGATTCGGATAGGAAAATGAAAAGCAAGTGGCTACCGAAAGTTTTCGACAATCAGCAGCTGTACGTGGTCCTACTGAAAGAACCAAAAACAAATGTGAGATATTATAAGTCAATGTTTGTGTGTACACTTGCTACAATGTAGATATGCGATTATTTTTTCCGAATGCGCTCTAAAGTGTTTTATTGGTCTGTTCGCTTTCTATGTACACCCTCGTTTATATATACACCATTGTGTGCTTCGGTGGATTTATACTTTATCACTAGACGTTATTGGTTTAGAAACCGACGGGGATAATATCGTAGTTTAAAATCTTCGGACAAAACTCTTAAGTTAATTTTTTCGGTTGAGCAAATCGATGATTTACGTCGAAACAAATTGTCCAGGATGCGAATTAATCTTTTAAACTCTTTATTGGTTACCGTTTATTTATTTATTGGAAACGTCTATAAATAAACAAATCTTATAGGTCAATTCAACACTTAAATGTAATTATTATCAATGTGATCATTCTGAGAATCATTTTCTTGTTTGTTAGCCATTTAAATAAATACGTTTCCATTTAAACAAATTTTAGGGAAAATAAGAAGGAATAGAACTATTTTGTTGAGTGTTAATTAAAGCGAGTAGAGTATTTATAATTTCTAAAAAATTTGAAAATATTGTGTGAGACATAGTAACCGATTGGACTTGTAAAGCATTTCAAGGATAGTTCAGAAATCGTGTAACGGTGGTTAAAAAAATTATCTTATTTTCAGTTAACAGGGTATTTGCAAATATTTGCCATACGTTTTTGCATCAAATAACTGGAATAGCATTGATTGTGATGTTAAAAGAAGGGTACCAAACTCACATAACTATATAACAAGGCTGTCGTTCAGGCATTTATCAGACCAATGATCAGCGTCATTAATCAGAATATATACTCCTCATCTAAAAATTGCTCTCACGAGTCGTTATGAATCGGTTAAAATAATATCAATATAAAATCGCTGCTTCTAATCATATATTTCGTGTCGATATATATATATATATATATGAATGTAGATTTTTATGTGAATGAGTGCGCAATACATCATTGAGCATGAATTTGAGTATTTATAACTAATTGTATAACTGTAGCGGTGGATTTACAGGCGATCGTATCTTTTTTCCATGGCCGTATAATGTAAAAAAATAATAGTGGAAAACCCGAAGAGAACGTTGAAAAATGACCTTATCGTCGGTTTTATTACATTTCATTTTGTTATTTTTTTGTAGGATGTCTGAAAAGCGTTTTCGATCAGTGATAAATTGATTTATACCAACTCAAGAGTGCGATTACGCGATTACAGGAACCGCATAAATATAGACATTTATTAAGGTTTTGAAGTTTTACGGATCTATATATTTTCAGTTGTTGATCGATATTCTCACACAGAGATTTTAATATTCAATTTCTGTAATAGTTTCTAGAACTCTACAGTATCATATGCATCGTCTGACTTTACCTTAAGGGCATAGGTTAACGAACAATCGAAATTGCCGGTGAACAACACAAATTGGTATTACTGCTAACATCAACTTTAATCCTTAGTACATTAAATTCGTAAACAATGTTAACCTTCTCTAATCTATTTGAGTCTGTAAGATACTGTAAGAAAAAATTATTGGAACAGATGACGTGTATTCTCATAGAATATGCCAGTGAAAATGTGCTATAGCTTATGTAAATTTTTCATTTTAACCGTAACTTCATTTACTAATAAAAGCTGTCAGAATGGATGGTGTGATATTTTATACGTCAAACACCAGTGTCATTTACAGTTATAATTATTCTAATTACTTATGGAAAAGTATGAACAACGAGTTTAATTTTAAATCTACACTCATTAACTTATTACAAAAATATTTTTTTGCGATTAAAAATTATGGAAATTTCATTATTCCTTGAACTTTAACTTAGAACAATAACAATTTACCGTTAGTATCATCGCTTTAGGTAATTTGTTTTTAACTTAATTATTCTTATTTTCACAAGTCTTACATCGAGTAAACATTTTCTTTAGAAACACGTTTAAAATTCAAACGTACTGCTGTATTGCAATTATAGAACTTTGTATTTTTATTTTTCGAATCAATTGCTTGAGGTGTTAGGTTTAAATTTTTTTACAAAAATGGAATTTTCAATTGATGGAAAATAACTGTTTGAGCATGCAGTATTATTAATGCATAAATAAATCTAAAACAAGCTTTCATTTCTTCCAATTATTATTAGCAGTAGTTATCAACAAATTTGAATATTTAATAAAAATATTAATTAAATTTATTATAAATTAACTGTTGACGATCTGTATGTGTTGTTTATGTCACAATTTACTTTCTTATCTAAACAGACGGCAGGACTTTGTGTATGCGCGTTAATGTTAGTGTACGTTCTGTTTTAATACATACACCACTCATTATTCATCAATCTATAAATTATTGTCTACGTTATCAAATTAAATATATACTATTCATATCAATCCTTTAAACTATTCCGAAAAATGTGTCTAATAATGCATCGATACAAATCTAATGTAATAACTATAAGAAATTCTTTAGTTGTTACAAATCATCTATTTTAAGTAAAATAATATCTAATAACTATCACAATCGAGTAATAAACAGATGAAGGTTGTGACACTTCTTGCACATACAAGTTTAATACAAAAGGACATAAAAACTGACAATTCGACCCACTGCTCCTTGACTTTATGAACCTTCAACAAGTGTAAGAAGTGGCTCGGCAAATTTATAATTTCAAAAAAAAAAAAAAAAATCAAAGCATATTTATTTTCAATCTTACTTCCAACATCACTTAGGTAAATTCACATTTCACAGAAGATTTATAAGGTTAAGCATAATGTGTACATAAATTAAGTAGGGAACCAGAAAAATTAAATGATCTCTAAAATAAAATATTGTTTAAATAAATTTCAAAAAATCAATAACGTTTGTACGAAGATGGCCAGCCTAGTCCAATCTTTGAGTGGGTTACTTGTGTAGTCAATACAAATAATGACACTCTTGCGAAGATAGAAAGCCCACTCGTGGTTCTTATACTACTCGAGGTATTTATTGACACGACTTACAGTCAACATAAGCTTAGACAACTTCTGGTAAGAGTGCCGTTATTGATACTTAAAGTGTGATAATTAATCTCAATAATTTCTATTTCAAATTATTATTATATTAATAAATTTTCAGTCATCACTTTGTTTTTCCATATTTCACATATCCTCATAAAACCCCCGTACTCATATTCCGAGAGAAAATTATATTATATCATTTTATTCAATAAATATATAGTAACTTAATTATTCTCATGCTCATACAAGACCAACCAATAACCAATTTTCTATATCATATTAAAATCATAGAAAACTACCATTTTTACTTTTAAATTCATTTTTTTGAGTTATTATAGTTCCACCGCCATAACAAAGGCGACGTCCTCCTAGTTTTCTAAGTCATTTTTAATGATAAAAATAAATATATAACTTTCAAATAGTAATGTATATTAAGCTTTATTGATTATTATTATATTAAAATTGAAAACATATTAATATCAAAATTAACAAAATCAAAAATATTGAGCGTTCCGTTATTAAATTTTAATATCCCACTTGCCTTCCATTAACATTCAGATATGAATTCAGATAAACATGAATAACATTCAGACAATCATTTTTATTTATTATTTTTTAACTTAAATCAGCGACATACACCTAAGGAGCGTATCGCTGATAATACTCGATAGTGGAACGTACACTGACTAATTTATGTATTAAAAAATCGTATATAACTTATAATAGACAAATGTACCAAACAAATAAAAACACGATAACTTGGGTGCGCTATTAAAAAATTTCACATTCACACATTATAAATTAAACAAAATTATATTTTTTTTATAAACAATAATAAACATAATACAATAATAAATGCTTTAGTGGAAATCATGAAAAATGTTTTTCTCATTACAAATTTTTTATTTGGGCGTATTTAATTATATCGTTCTTTTTGAATTTAGTTTATTGATTGCAACAACGTGACAAGACTACTCAGATATAGTTTACTTTGAGAAGACTTTTTTTGTTATTAATTGTCATAAATCGATTGTAGAAAATTAAATAATTTATTACATTCATTGAAACTAATAAATGAAGAGTATTTGTAAAAAACTACTTAAATAAATAGTGTAATAATTTTTGTAAAAATTTATCTTTATTTTTGAAAAATTACAGATAACAAATTTAAAATCACATAAGTAAATAGATATTTTAATTCCATACTAATATGAGTAATTTAAAATGACATGTAATAACTTTTCATACTACGATAAATTATTATTTGTGTTTAACGAAAAATTCTTAAATAATCGTGTTTCATTTTATTATCGATTGTTGAGATAACTCTGTAAAGTAGATTATTTTATGGGTGAAATTGCTGATATTAAAAGATTAAAGTGTTAACCTGTTTAAACATTAATTGTATTAATGACATTTATAGCTAACTTATGAAACATAAATGATCTAAATGTCAAAAAAAGTATAGTCTCAATATTAATTTGTTGTTAAATTTAAAAATCGCTATACCTCACTGTCATTTTCACTATATTATTTATAATTTGTTTAAATAAACGGATGTTTATACAGCGATAGCAAAACTTTCATTAAGAATGTAAAATTCCAAAATTCATAGGTAAGACCATAAATCAATTTGTTAACAGTTTATTATTTTTTGTAAAAACAGCTGTCGGGTAAAACACAACCGTTTTGAAAAGCGAGCAGGTATATTTCCGTATTACCGCTACTCGCAAGACCCAACGCTTATTCTGTAAAAAAAATATAATATAAAAAACACGGGAAATAAAAACAAACTTATGCATATTACGTTGTAGTCATACGTATAACAACTGCTAGTGCGTATCGTATATTATAATATGTCAGTATATTAGTAAATAAGAAACGGCATTTCGAAGAACCCGCCGCCGGTAAAGTCAACACGCCACGCCGGGCAACGGCCTGCACACGTTACACTTCCTACAATGTTTTATTTTTTACTGCTGTCATATAATACGTGTAGAGCCATACCGCGGTTGGTTTGGTATACTTTGGATAATCTATGATAATATTGTGTTTGAAGAAAAACCCTCATACGAGCTGTCAGACACGCGTGTGCCGGCCCCAAATAACCGCATTATAGACTTCACGCATTTCTCGCACTTAACGTAAATCGTCACGTATTTAATTTAAATTCAAATCACTCGTGCACTCGTTGTTTTGAATCTGTAGAAAATTTCATTAGACTTAAAAAAATACAAACCCATTGGGGTAGTGCACTGATGTTGAACGTAGACATTGATCACGTATACCCATCGCGGTTTTTTTTTTTCAAAAAAAAAAATTGTTCCTATTAAACGAACACATACAGAGGTTAACATTTAAATAACTAGACGCTGCATAATATTTAGTGAGACATGACGTAATGAAAAACTTATCGTTAAAATTGCTCTCTCAATTACCTTTAGAATTATCCGGCGTTTTATAAATGATTAAGGTGTGATATTTATTTCATACCTGTTTTAGGATTGACTTCAAACAATTAACATGTTATTTTTCTTGTAAAACAAATATAAACCGTTTAATGTAAACTATGTTTTTTTTTCATTTTTAAGGACGTCCTCCACCCCGTGTCACTTGGTGGCAAGAAAATGCTTTGTTAGACGAATCCTTCGAAGTACTGCCCGGCAGGAAGGTACGAAATGTGTTGCGACTTGAACGATTGGAACGTCACCATTTAAACACTGTCTTTACATGCCAAGCATCCAATAACCATATGGTTCCGCCCATATCCAGTTCTGTAACACTTGACATGATCCGTAAGTATAAATGATCAGTTTTACTAACTTGAATATTCCATGTTTTAATTACTACATACCAAATGACATAACAATAATTATTTTCATCGGTTCGCTATTTAAATAGAGGGGAGTAGGTGCGTCTCCCGTAAGCCAATTATAATCGTGTTAATTTAACTTTTATACGTGCGTAACATGTTAATATTTTATTTAATCAATATTTTCCGTGTCGTCTGTAGATACATGCTCGATCCATATCAGTACTAAAAATGTGTAGTTTATGTACATTATATAGGTCATCAAATACAATAGAAAAATCAGTAACGCATATACAAGAAAATAGTTGATGTTATCTCATGACTTCTTGTCTTCATATTTGCATAGACATGTGTAAAATTCCTATTCAACTTATCGTTATGTTGTGATTTTGATTAAAAACACTTTGACTGTCGTTTAACATAATATCTACACATGGAATACATCGATAACAATATGAAAGCGTAGACAATACTACTATTATGGCGAAGGCTTATACGAAGTTTCGATAGAAATTCTATAGAAAACAGAGTAAATGGCGTAAATAAGTACAACACAGGCACCTATAGAAGACACTAACTATTGAACCGAGTTTGATTTAAGACATATATTTCTTGCAACTATCCGATTTCATTTTCGGAAGATGAATTATATATGTGTCTTTCACTCATTCAGAAGCAAACCATTCTGTACAGTTATTAGTTCGATAGCACATAGTTGAATCATAATTATGCGCAAATTAATTTTTTTTTTCACCTGTCATAAATATATTATCATTTTATTTTATTGTAAAATAGTATTACCGATTTAATTATAGTATACTAAATTTAACTGAAGTAAAATATATCTTATTGTTAGTAGTTAATGATACTGTTTTAAATATTTAGCATCAGTTGGGCAAAAAAATGGAAGTATTGACGAGGATGTAATACGCAGGAATAAGTCCGGGTGGGTGAAGTAGAGAGAAACGTCTGGTGTGTTACGCGATAAGAGAATTTCAATGGGCTCTAATTTTCTAAGCTAAGTTCTATAAGACTGTAGTGAGACCAGTATTGATTTATGGCTCAGAGTGTTGGGCGACTGACAAAAGAATAGAACAGAAAATGAGTAAAGCAGAGATGAGAATGCTTAGATGGAAAAGTAGAGCGACTAGAAAAGATAGGATAAGGATTGGACATATAAGATGGAGGATAAATTTAGCATCAATCGTGAATAAGCTGAAAAAAAGTAAGCTTAGATGGTTTGGTCATGTTTTGAGGAGTGATGAATTGGAAGTTGTAAGAACAATTACAGAAATGAATATGAAAGGAAGAAGAGATAGAGGAATACCAAAAAAAACCATGGAGGGATGTTATTGAATGCGATATGAGAACGACTGATGTGGGCATCATGTCAAGTGAAAGTTTAGGATAAAAGTGGCCGACCCCAAGTAGTTGGGTTAATGGCGAAGAAAAAGAAGAAGAATTAGTAATTATTGATATAAGTCATTGATGTTAGGTTGAATATAATAATTATTCATCGATTATTAATTAAAAAATTACTTTAAAATATGTCAATAAAAAATCATTATTTTATTATAATATATAAAACTGATTCAAATATTAAAATTACTTTTTTCGACTTAAAAGAAAAAAATAATTGAAATAAGTTTGACGTTATATTATATGTCAATTAGATTTCTATAATATTCATTAAAATCAGTGTACTCGTCTTATAAGGTATATTGAAATAAATTAAAATACAATACCGAGAATTTTAACTCATAAGTAGCATATTTTTGAATATGATAATCCTTTTTACTGTATAGATACAAATGTATACTGTATCACTGTATAGATTTTCAAAAAATGTATATCAAATGAAAGAAAAATATCTATGGTTTCAATAAAAAAATATATATATTTTTTAATTTGTTCATTTTTCAATAAAGTATAGCAATTTTTAGGAAAATAAAGTTTAAAAATGTCAAAATTTATCAATTCTAAAAATCGTAATTTTTTGGGAGTTTTTCACCATTTACGGGGAACGAGGGTACAATTTTCAATTTATGAGGGTAATATTTTCAATTAGATACAATTTGTGATCTTTTGACGTATTATTGAAAAAAATCGTTCCAATGAAAGCTGAGAAAAAGTAGTGACAGATATAAAAAAAAAAAAAATAAACACATCATGATAAAATTAATACTTTCTCAGCTTCTCATCGAAGCAAAAAATTAATATAAAAAAACTTATAAGATTTATGAAATTTATTTTAAAGATCCATAAGATGTAATAACTAAAGTATAGTTTCGATATAAGGAACTTCATAATATAAAAATAGTATCATTGTGTACACATGTATACATGTATATCTCTTAGTACTGAAAGTTAAAATTATAGAGGTAAACTTTAAATCGTGAAAAATAAGTAAAGCATACCTTTGTATAATAGTTCTATTTCATGTTACAATGATACGTATATTTCATTTAAACATCGTAGAAATAGTCTGCTATAGAAATAGACCCATTATTACTAATTAAACTATTTCTAAAAGCAACAACATAAATGTTATTGGAGGTAATTACAAATCACATGCATTGTACAATAACTTGCGTTAAAAGATTGAAAGTTACTATAGTTGTAAACATTTCTTATGACTGTGTAGTAATGGATAGGTAGTTTTAATTAATTTAATATATGTACGTTTTAGGTGACCTCATAAAAATAATAAAGGTTTAGTTATATTTATATATGGTATTCAGTAAGTAAGGAAACCGGTCAATTATTACAAACAATGGAAAACAATAGAAATTTGTTTCCTTAATTACTGAATATATGTAAATCTTCTTCTTTTGCAGTATGCAATCTAATGATTGGTTTGCAGCAACTTTCATGTTTCTCTATCACTAGTCTTTCCTTCAACTCTTGATATGAATTATATCCTTGGTCTTCTATTATCTGACTTATGTATTGCAATCTTGTCTTCCTCTATGATTTTTTTCACCAATTATTCATTCTAAGATTAATAATAGCAATCCGTTGTGTCTTAAAGTATGACCTACTAATTCAGTTCACCTTTTCTGTATACTCTTCCATATTAGTTACTTCTCAGATACCCTTTCTAAAACTTCTTCATTAGTAATTCTATCAGTCCAACTTATCTCTTCCATTCTCCTAAAGCACCACATTTCAAATGCCTCTATTCTTCTCATTTCTTCTCTTGAAATAGTCCATGTTTCGCATCCAAATAACATAAAGTTTATATATATTAACGATTATTTAAAATACTAAATATAATTTTACACTTTTCATTAATTTATCTCAACAATCAGTTTGTAAGTTGAAAATACAAGAAAGCATTTTGTTATGTCTTGGTAGTTTTGATAATTGGTGTTTTTATTTTCTTATTTATACAGTTACTAGTGTAAATTCCTTAATTTTTTCTTCATTTCTCAAGATATAATTTAGTTTTATAGCTCTTATACTAGCAATCCATTCGAAACAGCTTTTATAAATTTTGCATTACTCAAATGTGTTGGTGCCTCATAATATTTAAAAAAACAACAAAAGAAGGGACTAAGGTAACGGGTAACATTAAATTTTTTATTTTGCAATTATCATGGTAGTCATTATTAAAAAAACTTAATTAAAAAACGTAACCAGCTGTTAGCAGTATAAAATAAGAATAATGGTTATGGTATAGAAAATATTTATGGTTGTGAGCAGAGAGAAATTAGGGTTCGGTTAAGATTATATTTTTAATATAAAGTTGAAGTCGGTATAATAATGATATTTTAATTCTTATAGCTACTTGAAAGAGGGTAAATTCATAAAAAAAGTAAACTATAGAGTTAATTTAGTAAACATTTTCTAATTATGTAATATTTTATAATATTCGATAATATTTATATTATTATTAATTATTTTCATCAAACGTGTCCACAGGAATTTTCAAGGAAAAAAAAATTTGTTTAAAATTTTTAAAAATCATTTCCACTATTTAACTATCAGAGAATGGTAACCAGCGCCCTTACCACGGACAACGCGTTTATTTGAAAACCACATGCCAAAGAGTAATAAAATAAAAGTCATTTGACTGTTGATATAAAAATATTCTGGAGTAATAATTTGCCCCATATATCGTAAATTTTAATGTTGTCCTTAGACTATCAACTTAGTATTTACAAATTATGTTGAATTTAATAAATTGTTTGAAAATTTATTTTAATGGTACATGGCATTTAAATTGTTAACATAATTCGTTCATTAGGTATTAAACTTTAAAGTTTCAAATAATAAGTTCAGTTAATATTCATGCATAATATACAAATACATGTAGCTAATTATTTATGTACGATGTCGCTATTCACATATACGAAGATTTAATTGTCAATTATTACTTTATTAACAAATATGCTTTCTTTATTGGTAGATAGTGTATTTATAAATGTTAACTCACAAAATTGTACCTTACTACCATATTTAAATCATAACAGTTAAAGTACTGTAGTATTATAAAATTCATTGCACATTGAAATTCATTTATTGTGAAATTCAAAAGCTTCCTGAAGTGAGTAATATTCAATTTTATTATTAAAATTACACAGATTTTTCATTTTTGTTTAACTGAGCAAAGAAATTCCTTTAAAGTCTCTCCAAAAAATCGTTTGATATCGTTAGATGCATACAAAATACATTTCGTCAATGATTATCTGATATAGTTTTATAGTATTGAAATTTCGATAGTATTTCATTTATATATCAAAGAGAATATAATTTCATATGTTATTTTAACTTATTATGATTTATTTTTCTTATGATGCTAAATTAGTGTGAGCGTATTTTTTTTAAAAATTCAAGTACGACGATAGTTTCAAATTAATTTTACGAAAAAAGTAATTTTTCAAAGTGTTACTTAACATTTTACATCTTTTATAACATCTCAAAATAAAATTGTGTAAATCAATTAATGTATTATTAATTGTTTTGAAATGTATAAATCAG